CTCCCCATGAATCTCCAGAGGGAGCGCGGCCCTGCCGATAGCTTGATTTGGGACTTCTGGCCTTCAGAACAGTGAGAGAATAAATTCCTGTTGTTTTCAGCCACCCAGTTTGTGACAATCTGTTAGGGCAGCCCCAGGAAACTAGTACACCTACTGTGTGCCAGGCAGGCACCATGCCTCTTGGGGATTCAGCAGTTAATGCAAACAATTGTGGAGCAGCTACTGAATGTCAGACATGGTTCTAGATGCTAAAGAGACAGCAGTGAGGGGGACTGACGGGCCCCTGCCCGCAGGCTCCCAGTGCATCCGTGTGCCTCTGGCCTGGGACAGGCTGGCTAGGGGGTGGGGGTGTAACAGGCGTGTGCCCTCCGCGGGACCCGTAGCTCCTCTGAGCACCCGGAGGGGTCTGATGAGTGTGCGTGGGCGCATGGGCGTGTGCTGGGGGCTTCTCTCTTGCCTGGCAGCTGGTTTTTAATTCTGAGGCTCCCCCATCTGCCACAAGTTCCAATGTCGGTGCCCATTAGTTCCAGGAAAATTACAGGCACGTGTGGCGCAGACAGCTCACCTTTCATGTTCTCTGCAGCGCGGGCTCAGGTCTGAAGGCTCCCAGGCACATTTCAGCAGTTCTGTCACCTTAACAAGCATGCCCCACCCCCCTCAGACATCTCAGCCCCAGGAGGCTGTAATTCCACCCTCCCCCCATCTGAATCAGGCTGCTCAGGACGTGGAAGATTAGGGGATGTGTCTCTGTTTGGCCTTGGCTGTCCTACCTGGGCTGGAGAGGAATGTGGGGGCAGGAGGCCCCACAGAATTTTTCAGGATTGCCTCCTCCCCCACCGAGGACAGAGGCCTCTGCCCAGCAGGGTAGGGCGGACATGTGTAGGGGGCTGTGACCCCCCCCTGCAGGACAGGGTCACTCATTGAGCGCCTGCTGTGTGCCACGCACTGTGATTGGCTCCGCGGGTGCAGCAGAGAGCAAGGTGGATGTGCAGTCAGAGCCAGGGCAGTGACAAGGGACTGTGGGGTTAGCAGGATCGCGGGGTGCCGCCACATTGGACATGTAACCTGTGGGGTCTCCCGTGGGCAGCTGAGTGGCCCTTGCTGTGTGCCATCCCCGGGGCAGGTGTGGTAGAGGGCCACGCTGGAGCCCCTGTCGGCCATTCTTGGGGAGCTTTGCTGTGGGCTGTGTGTGGGGAACCCTTCTCCGGCCGGCTCCTGGGGCTGCAGGGCAGGCTCTCTGGTGCCGTGGTTTGTAGCTCGGCTGTGCGAGGCCTGGTTGGGACTCGGGCTCAGAAGCATCCCACGCCACCTGGCCAAGCAAGTCCTTCACCTTGCTGGAGCGCTGGCTTTCTCCTTGGAGCCCCGAACTTGCTGAGCTTGCCTTATTGAGCACCTGCTGTTTACCCAGCACGCCTCACAAGCATGCATTCTCGCAGCGGAAACCCTCATGTCCATTGGCAGCTGAGGACACTGAGGCTCAGAGCCCTGGGGCGTCGTGCCCAAGGAAGGGAACGAAGGGCTCCCGTCCCCTGGGGCTGCTTGGCCTCTGTCACCACATGGTGAACTCTCTCTGAGGCCTTCCTGCCATCTGCCGCGTCTCCATCTCTGTCACCGTTGCCCCAGTCCCACCAGTGTGGTCTTTCACTTGGATGGTTGCAGGACTTCCCTAGGTCTCCCGGTTGGTTCTGCCTTTGCTCTCCACAACCTGCTTGTCAAACACTATGACCCTTTACTGTCCCCTCAGCCACTGTGGTGGCTCCCCGTAGCCTTGGAACAAAATTCGTCCTTACCGTGGCCCCATCTTCACCCTCGGCCCCCAACCACCCATCTGCTTCCTGCCTCTATGGATTTGCCTATTTTACATACATGGAATCATACATTATGTGGTCTTTCGTGTCTGGCTTCTCTCACTTAGTCTGATGTTTTCCATATCGTAGCGAGTGTCCATAATGCATTCCTTTCAATGGTAGAATCACGTTCCACTGTGTGGCCATAGCGCAGCCTGTATCCATCATGAACTGGTGGACACTTGGGCTGTTTCTTCCTTCGGCTGTTGTGATTAGTGCTGCTGTGAACATGGGTGTACATTTATTTGTTTGAGTCCCTCTTTTCAGCTCTTTTGGGTGTGTGCCTAGGAGTGGAATTGCTGGGTCATATGGTAACTCGATGTTGAACATTTTGAGGAACTGCCAGACTATTTTCCTAAAGTTTTTTTTTTGAGTTGGCAACGAATGTGGCTGAGGTTGGGAGGGGTGGAAATTGGGTTTATTGAATAAACTCATGGTGAATGAGGGAGGCTTGAGGTCCACACAGTCCCCCAGCTTTGGGGACAGCCTACATGTGAGGACGCTGGGCCCCAGGGAGTTGGTGGGGTGAGCCCTGGATTGGTGAGCGGGAGCGGGACGGCTTTAGCCCCCCAGCTCGGCAGCGGATACCCTGTAAGTCTTGAGGGAGTGGGAGTGGGGGGCGGGGATGCGGCTGAGGAATCTCTAGGGCTGTTCTGAAAAGGTGTCACCTTCCCGGCTTCCGGAGCCCGCGTGCGGTGCCACCTGGAGCATCTGGCAGGGGCCTGCCATCCCCAGTCAGCATTTCATCAGGCAAAGGAGGTTAGAAACGACTCGTCACCACTTTATGCACCACAGAATCAAATGCCAATTTGGAAGTGGCCATGGTGCTCTTGGAGGAGGGGCACACGGCGTGAAGCAGCAAGCAGTGCATCTGCCCAAGCTCTGGCCGCGTGTCCTTGGGGAGAGCAGAGCAGGCACCTCTTTAAAACCCAGACAGGGAGGAAGAGAATGGGCTTTGCCACTTCGGACGAGTGGGCCTGCGGGCTTTGAGGCCAGCGGGAAAGGGGGACTTCTGAACTGGCCCAGCATTGGTGGCCACCCCTGACCCCTCTCCCAAGACCAGTCTCGTGTGTCTGGGCTGCAGGACAGATGCCGCGTTGTTCCTGGTGGAGCTGGCAGGACAGCCCTCCCTCCCGCCCACAGCGAGCACCCTAGGACTGGGTTACTGCAGTGACAGTTCTAGTCATGGTAATTAATCACAGTAGCTCCCGCTGGCTGTTACCCAGCCAACCGGACTTGTTCCTGTGTTACCCGTACATCTTGTCTCAGGGGCTGGGTGAAGCCCACGCAGGCGCTCCCTGAGGTGGCTGCAGGGGTGTCAGGCGTCTCTCTGGACTTCTTCGGCTCTTCAGTGTTGGAAGGCTGGACGGCACCCACCCGAAGGATTGCCTCCTCTGTGCCTCCTTCCTTCCCTGGGTGAGTCAGAGCTTTTGGTGGCAAGTGACAGAAACCCAGGTTGGACTGGTGAAGGCAAAACACCCTTCTCTAAATAAAGAAGCAGACTTTGATTTGCCTTCAGGCACAGCTGTCATCAGGACCTGAATGCGCTCTCTCCACCCTTCAGCTCCACCTTCCTTCCCGTTGGCATCTTCTGGGGCAGGCTCCTGTCACATGGTGGCCCCCAGATGCTCCAGGCTCTCATCCTCCCAACTTAGAGCCCCAGTAGAGAGGTTCAAGCGAAAGGCTCAAGACTGACACTCATTGGCTCAGATTGGGTCACATGCCCGTCCCTGAACCAATCACACTGACCCAGGGAAAGCACGACTCTGATTGGCCAGGCCAAGATCACGTGGCTACTCCCGGAACCTGGGGACTAAAGATAGTTCCGGAAAGGAAAGTCAAGTCTGTAGTAGCGGAAGATCAGGGTGGGGAGTGGGATTCAGTCAGGACCCCCAGACTGGGGCTTCATCCCTCCTCTGACCACCATGATCTCAGCCTTCCCTCCTGTAATTGTCCACATGAGACCTCCAGCCGGCAGGTCACCAGTGGAGGGCTAGGGCGGCCACCCGCTTGGAGAAGGACAGCTGCTCATGGGAGAGCAGAGAGATGCGGGACCTCATTGCAGGAAGCTCAGGTACTTCCTATTTACCTGGTCACGTGAGGTTGCATGGGCATGTCCAGAGGGCCCCTGCACCATCTTGGATTTCCCTCAGCTCTGGGCGTGTGGGAACGGAGGGGAGGTTTGCACGTGGTGAGGGCCTGATGGACATGCCTTTTCTGAGTGGCTGAGTGTGGAGGAGGCCTGGGGCGTGTCAATCCGGCTCCCACACCGGCTCGGGCAGGGAAGCCCGTCCGTAACCCGGGGCCGGGGGAATTGGAGCAGTAGCCAGCAGAGGGGATCGTGGGGAACGTGGGGGCCCCGGAGATGCCTGGGCAAAGGCAGCTTCCGATGAAGGGCTCCCTTGCTCCCTTGAGTTCTTTCTTTCTGGGCCTCAGTTTCCCATCTGTGAAGCCAGTGGCTGTTTCTTAAGATTCTTTCCAGTGTGGGCACGGATGGTTTCTCTGTTGCCCCCAGGAACCTTTGGGGGCCCAGGTGGCTCTCGTCCGTGCCCTCGGCTGTTTCCCTGGTGTGGCCCTTGGTGTCCGGTCCACCGCTTCCATCTCGTGTCTGTCCTGCTCCCACATCATAGCCTCACGCTCCTGCAGAGGGTCACCCGGAGGCCCGGGCTGGCCTGGCCTGGCCTTGCCTGGGGTCACTCTGTGACCCACATCCCGCCCTAGCTGACCGTGCCCACCACCGCCCCGGGCGGTCATGTACCTCCCCCAGTCGTGCCTCTCGGGACAGGCTCTCAGCTGCCTTTCATGAGCTTCCGGCTGCTCTCGGAAAACTTCTTGGAGTGGGGTCAGGGGGCGAGGGGTTGTGGGGGCAGCGCACAGGGGGGTCCTGTGCCTGCTGAGTGAGGACCTTGGGAGTGGGGGAGGGCACCCCTCTTCCTGGTGTAGCTTGTGGGGCGGCTGGTGGCTTAGCCTGTGGCTCAGTTCCTCCAACGCGGTGTCATGTCTCCTGTGCTGTCAGTGGGCACGGAGGAGGGTCAGGGGGACCTGTGTCCTGCTCCTCCTCACAGGCACCAAAGGAAGGACTTGGGGCCCCCACCAGGGTCCCACGAGGAGTCGCTGCCCCGCGTCTGATCTTCTTTCCTGGTTTTCTCACAGGTTCCTGTGACAGGGCGGCCTGCAAGCAGATGACGAGGACTGGCTTATAGTCCTCAGTGGCCATTGAGAGGGAGCTTATCTGAACAACCACCGCCATGTCGGGGTCCACGCAGCCTGTAACGCAGACGTGGAGGGCCACCGAGCCCCGCTACCCGCCCCATGGCATCTCCTACCCCGTGCAGATCGCCCGACCCCACACGGTAAGGGGCGCCCGGGCTACCTTGGGGTCCTTCTGTCATGTAGTCCCCGCCCCATTCCTTTTTCTCCTCAGAGCCAGGGTTGGCGTGGCTCACTGTGTCCCTGAGGGGAGGTGGGGGCCTCGGGAGAGACCGTGGGGGTCCGCAGCCTTCCAGGCTCCAGGCATCTGGTAAAATCTCCTAGTTCCCGCTTGAAAGCTGGGAAGATGGAGACCAGGGCCAGGCTGAGCTGGGGTCTGCGTCTGAGTCAGCAGTGGGATTTGCATGCAAACATGAAGTGCCTGCTGTATACATTTCCCTCACAGCCAGCCTCACCTTGCTCTAGGATTGGGGTGGCTTCCTGGGGGCCACTGCTCGCGGTCCTTCCCCTCTCTGATCCTTGACCCTGGAGTTTCTTCACTATGGTGATGGTCGTGGCGCCAAGACAATGAGGCCAGCACATGTCATGTCTGAATTCCTGATCTGGGGGTCCAGGGTGGTGGTTCTGCTCAGCGAAGGGGACGGCTTGCCTTGGCCGGGGGAGCAGGTGTGCTTTCGGTGCTTGTGCCCTCACAGCCAGCTCTCCCAGGCTGCTGCCCACATTTCCTGCCCTCACCTCTAGCTGCATGAGGACAGGCCTTTGGTTCTGCTCTGTTGGCATTTATTAGGTACCTCCTGTATACCATAGCCTCGTGTGCTTGCCAGAGGGCTCTCAGGATCCTGGTCCTCCCCCGTTTGGCCTCCTGGCTGCTGGGTAGGGGGTGTGAGGCCCCTTAGTCACAGCTGGGGGAGCAGCTGGCTCTGCTGGCATGCAGGGGTCCTGCTGGCCGGTGTGGTCCTTCCTCATGAGACACAGGAAATGGCATGGAACGACATTTCCATCAGAGAGTGAAGCGTGTTTGCATATGAACACACTGGCCCAGCCTGGGGGTGTCCCAGACGGTGGCCTCTTGAGGACATACTCCCCCTCTTCCCCCGAAGCTTATCAGAGCCGGCGCATGAAGGAGTTATGAGAACTGTCCCCTGCATGGAGTCACCAATGAAAGAGCACCTCGACTTGTTTTCCCATTTTGCAGATGAGGGGACTGAGGCTGGGAGGTAAAAGCACTGTGAGAAGGCAGCCTGCTTCAGCCTCAGGGTCCCGAGCCCAGTGTCGGATGCCCGTTTATTGGGCCCCTGTTGTGCCCAGGGCTGAGGAGTATGCCCCTGCAGGTGAATTATTACATATCGCCATTGTCGTTATGATGGGCGCCAGCAACAATGACAATTAGGGGCTCTCATCTGCGGAGCACCTCCTACAGGGCAGACGTTTTGCTCAGAGCCCTGTAGGTGTACAGTACACAGGCTCCTCTCCCCTGATCACCCCAGTGGGGGGAACCCTTATGCTCTCAGTTCTGTAGATAGGAAATATTTTGCCGGTGAGGAAACAGGACAAGTAACCTCTCTGAGCCTTAGTCTGGCATCCACAAGATGGGGGTAATGAGAGCACCTGTCCCCTGACTGCCATCAGGACTAGACACGATCTGCGCACTGTCCTCAGGGCACTGCCTGACACGCTCAGCCCCAGGTGCCCAACTGCTGTTATACTGTGTTACTGTCACTGCTAGCTGCCCAGAGAGGCCGCCTCCCCTGGGGCCCCCTGGCACGTCTCTCTGGCTTCTCTCTTCTCATCCCCTCCTGCTAGGTTTGAACCCCTCTTGCACTCCTTCCCCGCAGGCCCAGCCTCGGGGAATCCTCCCACCCCTATAGACCCTGCCTTCCTGCTGTTTCTCCTGCCCTTTGTTCTGGCTGGGTCCTCTCGGTCATTTGGGGTCACCAGCTGACCCCAGACACCTCCTATTCTTCCCTTGCTGGACTGTCAGTGACACAGGCTGTGGCTGTACAGGACACAGTGGTTACCACCTGATCCAGGCAGGAGGCTAAGGCCAGGGGTGAGCGGGGCCCTGGGCAGCCGTTGGGTGGGGCGTCTTTATCCTGTGTGATAGCAGCAGTGGGTCCTGACGACTGTCTACCCTGCCTTGTGCTGGAGCGGCCCAGCAGGGACCCTGGCTTATTAACTGAAAGGCAGGAGGGAGAGTCCTGGGCATCCTGGATGGGGAGCGTGGGTGTGGGGGGGTCTTGGTCTCCTGGGTGTGTGTCTGGGGCTGGAGCCATTTTCCCTTGGCTGGTGGGCAGGGAGTGTTGGGTCTGTAATCTGGACCCCTCCCCACCAGCCCATCCCAAAGGCGGGGCAGGGTTTGGGAGTTGTTCCTGTTTCTTGAGACGGGAAGACAGGGTGGAGGAGAGGGGAAATCGAGGCACAGAAAGACAGATGCCCCGTCCAAGGGCCAGGTGGGAACCGGGTGTCCCAGCTCCTGGTACAGTAGCTGAAGCAGGTGTGCTGGGGTATAGGGGCAGGGCCTGGACACAGGGACCTGTGACCTCCCTGGGACTCAGCTCACTCCCACACCTGCTCCCGACAGGCTCGCCTCCGGGGGTGGCACCTCCTGGCCCTGAGACCTCCTCCAGGCACTCTGGGCATAGGGTGGCTTTGATGGCCAGTGCCCTCTGCAGCCCGAAGAACCTCCAGGTGGGGCTTTGAATCGCTGTTCCTCCCAGATTGCTGAGTGGCATCAGCTGCTCACTTAACCCTGTGGGGGCAGCCTCAGTTTTCCCATCTGTAATATGAGCGTCGTGGGTCTGAGCCCTTGAGGTGCTTGGGGTGGTGGATGCACGTGGCAGTCCCCTCTTTCCCCCTGGCAGGAAGCCCGAGGAGGCTGTGTCCCTTGGGACTGCAGGACTCTGGACTCCGAGGGGTGGTGGGAACTGTTTCCTCTGCTGACCGGGCTTTTGGCCTGTGTCAGCTGCAGGCCGCTGCAGTGTGACGCCCATTGCAAACGGAAGGTGGTTCTACGTGTGCTTGCAGACAGGGGCCTGCACCCCAGGCTGTGGAGGCCACGTTCCACTGACCCAGCTTCAGGCACACTCTGAGCCTCTGTACGTGTCGTAGTGCGCGTGGCTCCTGGAGTCCCACCTGCTCCCCCTGCAGGGTCTCTCTATGCCCTATTCCCTCCCCCACAGCATCAGGACCCCACATTTTTCCCTTAGGGTCTTTCCTTGGGACAGAGGGTCTCCCAGGATTGAGGGTCCCGATGCACCCTCCTTCCTTGCCTCCTTTGGGGGGTTTTTGTGTCCCAACGCAATTCTGCCTTCTCCCCCAAATCCCCCGGAACCCCCTGAGTTCCCCTGAGCTTCTGCAGTCCTTGTGTTGAATGAATGTGTTAAAGTCAAAAGACACAGGGTCTGGATTCCAGAGCTACCCCTTCCTGCTGTGTGGCCTTGGGCAAGTTAATTGACCTCTCTGTGCCTCATTGTAGAAGGGCAGTTTAGAGCACAGGCTCTGGAGTCAGACTTCTTGCATTCACGTCCTGCCTCAATGAGGCCCTACCTGTGAAACTTTGGACAAGTGGCCTTACCGCCCTGTGCCTCAGTTTCTCCATCAGTTGACCAAGGGTAGTTAAAAGACGGTGAGGATAAAATTAGTTGACATGTGCAGAGGCCTTTGCCCGATGCCTGGACAGAGTTAGCATGCACGGATGTCATGGAATGATAGTTCTGATGATGACACTCTTATTATGACGACCGTGTAGCTGTTAGTATCCTTTTCATTTCCTTCCTAGAGCACACTGTGGGCTCTTCCTCTAGAGGCGGGGTGGCTGACCTCTGTAAATATTTCACATTTTTTGGGCCATGCTGTCTCTGTCACAACTAGCAGCACTGCTACTGTTGTCTCGTGAAAGCAGCTCAGCCAAGACATAAAGCCATGGCCGTGGCCATGAGCCAGTGACATGTGACGAAATAGGCTGAGCCTGACTTTGGCCTTGGGTTGCTGACTCCTGCCCTAGATCAGTGCTTATCAAACTCTGTGGGAAGGACCAGTCTGTTTCATTTCCACTTTGTCACAAACTGATACGTGGTCCTACTGCGTGTGACCCAGTTCACAGATGCAGGGAGGTGGTGGGGGAGAGGGGGTCTCGGCTGAGGCCAGGAGGCCCTGGGGTGGAGATTGGTGTGGACACTGCAGGAGTGGCCCCCAGATCCTTCTTAGAGGGACTTTGCTGACAAGCTTATCCCACTTGACTCCAGAACTGGGAAACTGAGGCCAGAGAGTTCATGCAGTGGCTTGTCCACACCCACGCTGGTGGGGCCCCGTGCGCCACGTGCCTCTTCCCGCCTCGGTTGGCACTTAGGTTGGCAGTTGTAAGTGCTGTCTTGCCGAGGACGTCTCCCAAGGGATTGGACTGTCTGCCTCTCTGCCACTTTGCTTTTGTGCAAAAGAGCCGGTGGGAGAAATTTCCTCCTGGCAGACTGCAAGGCCTGCTGATTGCTTTTCACACCTCTGTGCGTGCGTGCGCACGGGAGATCTTTGCCTGGTGGCCTCGCCAGAGTGATCCCAGAGGCCTCCACTCCCTCCCTCGAGCCCTTTCTTCTTCCTTCCCTCCCTCCCCCACACCTCCCTGTCTGCAAGCACCTGGTGCTTTGTGATAGGCATCGTGCAGTGCAGGGGTGGAGGAGGCTGAGCCCTTCTGTGCCTTCTGGAAGCTGCCCTCAGCCTTGGAGTAAATCCTGTAGAGAGTGATGTGGCATTAGAGGTAGGAGGCCCAGAGGCCTACTTCCATCTGGGCCAGTCACCTCTTTCAAAGGTGAGGAAACCGACACTCAGAGGGTTTGAGTGATGGACAGATGCCGCCAGCCGCGGTTGCCCTTGCAGCTGGGTCTCCACATTGGGCTGCCTGGGAAGGCCTTTTCCGCGACGCTCCCAGCCCGAGGTTGACGGGGTCCCTGTTGATTCCAGTTCCTCATCCTCTCTAGCCTCCGGCCTTTCATCTCACATGCTTGTTTTGGAGGAGAGGGTCTGAAACATACATTCCCTACACACTTACCTGGTGTCATCTGATTCTCTTTGCAAAAATAACTGCTTTCAAAAAAGAATAAACCAGACAGCAAAAGAAGGACTAGATTTTTTTTTTTTTTTAATGGAAAATTGGGAGAATTTAAAGAAAGGTGCCAAGAAGCAACTAAATCACCTGCAGTCCCGCGCTCTCTCTCCGGAACCTTACCCGTGTCAGACATCACTAATTGATTGCCACACACACAGTGTAACTGACTGTTCTAGACAGACAGAACTAATCAATTTGGATTGGTACATGGATAAAGCCTTTCCCGTTTTCTTGTTGGAAAGACTTGTTTCTATCTTTTTTTCTTTTTTTTCTTCAACATTTTAATGTTTCTCCAATCAGGGTGTAGTGACAATTGGGGCACACCTGATTTGTTAACGTTTAGTTCTTCCTTGGATGACAATGGCGAATGGATGGCATTTTACTAAAGTATGAGGGTTTTGCCTGCCGTTTATTCTTCTGACTTGGATCTGTGCTTACGTATACGACACACGAGTGCGGGTTTTTCCTTTGTTTCGGGGCCTGGTCTTTGAGCCTCGCAGACCGTCCCCTGGTGTGTGACGCCCGCGCCTCGCTGTCTCACGTGGATCCGTGTTCACTGAGGGCCCTTGGTCGACACCAGGCCGCCCTTTCATCCCAGTCCCCCCTGCTGACACGCGGGCTCGGCGTCCTCTGGAAAGCGGGCAGAATCGCAGAGCTGCAGGGCCGGCCCGGAGTGCCCACCCACTTAGCTATATGTGCCACTGCACATTGGCCCCAGGAATGCCCTCTGGCCTCGGGGGCCAGGGAGGACGAGGATGAGGGCGGGGACCTCCTGGTGCAGGAGCGAGCCCTGGGCAGGGGGCTCTTGGGTGTAAGGTGGGCCGTGCCGCCCTGGCATCAGAGCTCACTCTGCTCTCTCTGCAGGACGTCGGGCTGCTTGAGTACCAGCACCACCCCCGTGACTACACCTCACACCTGTCACCTGGCTCCATCATCCAGCCCCAGAGGAGGAGGCCCTCCCTGCTGTCTGAATTTCAGCCCGGGAATGAAAGGTGAGAGGCGGCTGGCACCGCTCCTTGCTCAGACTCACGGAGCCATTTCTCAGATGGGGAAATGGAGGTGCACGGAGAGGAGGCACTTGCCGGGTTGGTGTTAGATGAGGGGGTGCCAGGCTCTGTGTTTCCCTTCTACTGGGGGCCAGGATGGGGATGGTCCGCTCCATGGCCCTCGGACTTCCTGCGGTGGGTCTGCTGTGGGTGCGTGGCCCATGCAGGAGCGGGTGACCATCAAGATACGGGGGAGTGGGCTGGGTCGCTTGTTGGGAGGGATGTGTCCACGCTGGGGTACACACAGGGAGCCCCCTTCCTTCCCTCCTATTGTCCTCCCCCTTTTCTTCGAGTCCTCTTCTGTCCCTCAGCTGGCACACAAGGCCCTCTTGTGTCTGCCCGCTGCTGGGCCAGCTTTGCTTAAATCCACGTAGGAGGGAACGAACCAGTGTGGCAGTGTGGGAACCCCAGCGAGGGGAGGGCCAAGACCAGAGCAGGGCGCACGTTGCCTGAGAGAAGAACAGCACCAGTTGCCTGGTCCTGCGCATCTAACACGTGCTGGCCCTTTCTAGGCTGTGGGCATGCAGTGGGAATCCAGACAGATGGCTCTGCCCACAGGGCGCCCCCATGCCACAAGCACACACACAGTGACTCCAGACATGGCAGGTGACCTGTCACCTACTGAGCGGGAAGCTGCTGCTTGGCTGGGATGGCCAGGAAAGGCCTCTTGGAGGAGGGACTCCTGGTTGCTAAGTAGCCGGCCATTCAGAGAGCTGGGTAAAGGCACCCAGGTGGCAGGAACAGCACACGCAAAGGCCTGGAGGTGAGAAGGTGCTTGGAGTGTTCCAGAAAGGAGAGGAGCCTGGTGCCTGGAGTGAGCAAGTGATTGGGGGCAGGGGGTGAGTTTCACGGGCACTACGGGACGCTTTTGAGCTTCGGGTGGACTGGATATAACGTCTCCTCTCATAGCTTTCAGGCTGTGTGGAGTGATTGTAGGGGCTGGGAGACCCCTGAGGCTGGGCTGGCCCAGAGGCCCCGTCCCATTGGCTTCCCCTGTCGCTGCGCTGAGGCTGCGAGGTTGGCGGATGGCCTGTGTTTACTCACTGGGACTAGAAACCCCGGAGACCTGGCCTGAGCCTTTGCGTTACCACATACCCCTGGAGGTGTCCCAGGACCACACAGGGAGGCCACCACCAAAGGCCATGGCCGCGGTCTTTCAGGAGCAGGTGGTCTTGAGTGGGCGGATGCTTCGGAGGTGGGAGGGGGTGTGGCTGGTGGGCAGGGGGGCTGCTGTTGGGAGGAGGTGCCGCGTGCGCTGAGACCTTTAGGAGGAGAGGGAGCTTGGAGGGAACAGGTATGTGTGTTCTTGGCCCTAAGGCAGGAGTGCGGTGGGCCAGGTGAGCAAGGGCCAGACGAGGCAGGGTCTGAGCTGGAGGGGGATGAGTCTGAATTCTGTTCCAAGTTTATTGGAAAAGGCATCGACTTGAAACACATTTCAGTAGGGGCAATGTTTGGGCCGTCTGGTGAGGAGCAGTAGCTAGAGGTGCAGGCCGGGTGTCTTGGGTCTGCTGGGCGTGCTCAGGAAAGGCCGTGTAGTCTCTGGGGCACTTTCCTCCGCTGCAGACTGCGGAGGAGGATTAAGGAGAGCCAGGCAGAAGGGGTGAGGCTGGACAGCTCCCATCTCTGCACCAGGCAGATGGGCTGAGCTGAGAAGGAGACGAGGCCAGGTTTAGCAGCAAGAGTGCTGTGATCGGCTGGTGATGTCTGCCCTGGGTTGGTGATGTGCGCATGGTATCGTGTGTGTGATGATCTGACTTAGTCCCCCAGTGCTTTTCGAACGTGACAGGGCCTACGAATCACCTGGGGATCTTGTTTAAGTGCACAGTCTGACTTAGCAGGTCTGGGGCAGGACTCAAGATCCCGCGTTTCTCACTGGCGGGGCTGCTGCTGCCGCCGGTCCTGGGCCACACTTGGGGCGAGGGTGGGCGGGATCACGGCGCATTCTCTTCCTATAAGCACAGTGAGTGAATGTCGATTTAAAGGAAGACAAGTCTGTCCCTGAGTCTGTGTGCCCCTGGACAGGTGGGCACTTCTCTCGCAAGATCGAAGAGGGCACGGTGCACAGTAGGTGTGCAGCGGGGAGTGCAGCAGACGTGATGCCATGTGCCCTTGCCTCTTGCAGGTCCCAGGAGCTTCACCTGCGACCTGAGTCCCACTCGTACCTGTCCGACCTGGGCAAGTCGGAGATGGAATTCATCGAGAGCAAACGCCCTCGCCTGGAGCTGCTACCCGACCCCCTACTGCGGCCCTCACCCCTGCTGGCCACAGGCCAGCCTGGGGGCTCTGACGACCTGTCAAAGGTAAGGCCTGGCCCCCACTGGGAGCGCCTCCAAAGGTTTGGCTTCTGCTGCGATTGAGCCGCATGCAAAGGAAAGGGGAGGTGTGAGGGACAGCTTGGGCAAAGGCCGGGAGGTGGCCTGAGCACGGGGCGGGCAGAGGCTGGGCGGTAAGAGGACTGTCAAGATGAGGCTTTCTCTGCGGGCCATTTCTTGGCTGGAGAGAGACAGCTGTCACCCGTGTGTCCGGTCTGCGGGGGCCACCACACTCCCAGTGTCCTAGAGGGCCCTTTCGTTTCACTCATCTTGAAAACAGCAAGTCAGAGCTGAGATGGTGGTCGGAGAATGTGCATAGATTAAGCGCCTACCGTTTGCTGCTGCAGGGGGTGGAGCTCTGCCATCAGTACAGCTCAGGGCAGTTGACGCCGGAAGCTCCTTTGGTCTCCATTTTCGTGGAGGAAGCCGACTGAGGAATCACAGCCAGTGGCCCAGATGCGTCTGTCCCCCAGGGTCACCCAGCTGCCTCGAAGCTTGTTATTTCACAGTCTCTGCCTGGGCTGGGGTGGGGACTGCGGCCAGGTGACATGCTTGTCCTTGGCCGGCTACGTGATGGATGGCCCTTCTGTGCGTGCTGCGCAGTTCCGTTAGGCTTCTTCACAACCGCAGGGACACACATTAGCTCATGAACGGTGTCCCAGCTGCCGGGCGAGGTCAGCGCTCGCTCATCTCACCGCAGCACTGGTGGAGGTGCGTGGGGACTGGGAGCCAGACCAGGGGAAGGAAGTGGCCCACTCAGGCCAGCCGGGTCTTCTTCCCTGCCAGATGCCGGGTGGAATTGAATGGTGGCATTTCAGGCTGAGGTGGGTCCTTTATTCGGGAGCTGGCAAAAAAGGGGTGTTCCCATGGTGGTAATGGTGGCGGTGACAAGTTAACATTGAGTGAGCCCTGGCTGTGTGCCAGGTGCCAGTGTCACTCCACAGTACCTTCTCAGCCTGATGAAATCTGACCCGCGGTTCGCTTTCATAGATTGGGGACCCAGGCTCAGAGAATGGAAGCTGCTTGCCCACGGCCATGAGGAAGTGGGGGAGCGGAGACTGAAGCCCAGGCAGCCAGGCCCTGTAGCCCAGCCCTGCCCACTGGGCTCTCCGGCCACAGGCTACCCCTCTGGTCTCCCAAGTGGGGTGCCGCCTCCCTCCTCCCAGGGCCTGCCGTCCCCCAGTTTCTGCTCCCCACCCCCCAGCACCCAAGCCTGTTTCCTCCTCCTCATAGCTTTGGCTGCTCAGCCTCCTGGGAGGGGTGCTGCCACATGGAGAGCTGTTCCCTGGCGTGTCTTGGACAGCCAGGGAAGTGGCGTCTGTGTGAAGGGGGCGCAGGGCCACGCCAGCGAGGCTTCATTTCCTCCCTCGGGACCGGAGCCCTGAGTGGGCCGTGCCCCTGCACTCATGTCCGGCTCTGCCCAGAATACGCGCTGGCAGTTGTCTGGCCCGCCCAGGCTGGCTCCCAGAAGATGGGCCCGGAGCCCTTGGGCCTGTGGGCTTTTGTGAGGGTCCATGTCTCTCGTGGCTCTGAGTCTGACTGCTTGTCCCTTTCCTCCTGGCGGCTCCCCAGGGGCTCCCTCTCCCTCTGTGGGTCTTTCTCAGTCTCCATGTCTGTTTATCTGTCCCTGTCCCCTGCCTGTGTGTGTGCGCGTGCATGCGTGTGTGTGTGTGTGTGTGTCTCTCTCTCTGCCTTAGTCTGTCTTTCTGTTTCTCCGTCTCTGTGTCTGCCTATCTCTCTTTGTTTCTCGCTGTGTTTCGTGCGCGCGCGCCTGCCTCTGCCTGGGTGTGTGTGGTTGTCTGTGTCCATCTCTCTCCATTTGTCTGTCTCTCTGTTCTCTTCCTGGACCCTGGGGGTAGGGGAAGAACGGCCCGGTGTTGGGGCCTGGCTGGACCCACTACTGTAATTGCTACAGGCTGTGAGGAGCATTTGGAAAGTTTGAGCACATTTTGGGCAGAGGAAGAAGCTGGGGAGAGACGGCTCCGAAAGTGGTCAGATGTTTTTTGCGTCTGCTGTTTGGAATTCAGCTGGATGCATAAGACAGGAATTTGATGGGTTTTGTTTTTTTTTACAGCCCCCCACCCTACCCCTGGCTGTGTTCCTTTTTCATATAAAAATGTCCTGTTTTATCATTCTTCCCTGCCTGGAGCCTCCTGTGGCACCAGAGGCCTCCTTTGGAATTCACCCAACTTTGTTTTAGGGACTTTAGAATCATCATACGCCTAGCCGTTTCTGAAAGTCCCTTTGTGCATTGGGGCTGTCTTGGCTGAAAGGACCAGAAAGCCCAGGCCAGACTGACTCAAGTAGGAGTCCTGGCTCAGGTAACTAAGATCCAAGGGTTTGCTGACTTCAGGCACAGCTCGGACTGGGTGACGCGATGCGATCAGGTCCCCACGTCTGTCCGTCTCTTGGCTGGGCCATCTTCCACGTGGTCTTGGTGTGTTAACAAGAAGGCAGTGTGTTCACTGTAGGCCTTCATCTTCCCACGTTCAAGGCCACATTTCCAACCCAACGCTGTTTCCCCCCTTGCCTTTGAGTGGGGCCCAGCCTGAGCTGGAAGCCGTCGTTGTGTCTGGGGGAGCAGACTGAGTGCCTGATGCTGGCCCTGCTCCATCCTGGAGCTGGGATGGCGGGGGGGGGGGGGCCCTCTCCAGCCCCAAGCCTTTTTCTGCCTCTGTGTCTTCAGTTTGGCATAATGAGTTTTTTCTCTTCTACGTTGGCCTGCATTTTTACACCAAGGGCATCTGATGGGGAAAATGGTGCCAACTGCTACCTGGCGGCTGCTTGGGGTATCGGTTTGTTGCTTTCCTCCTGCGGGTTTGGGCTGAAATGAAGGCAGCAGCCATCGGGAGAACCATCTGGAGGCCCAGTAGCCAGGTCCCTTGGTCCCTCCCATTCCTCGAAAACTCAGCACCGGAGACAGCACTCTTTTCCCTCCCTGGTGTGCATTTCACAACAGGAAATTAGCCATGTTAACGCGAACAGTTCAGTGGCGTTCAGCACATTCATAATCCTGTGCAACCCCCGCCTTTCCATATTCCAAAGCATCCCTATCACCCCAAAAGGAAACCCTGTCCCCATTAGCAGTCACTCCCCAGCCCTTGACACCCACCACTCTACTTCCTGTCTCTGGATTTGTCTATTCTGGACATTTCCTATAAATGGAATCCTACAGTATGTGGCCTTTTGAGTCTGGCTTCTGTCACTCGGCATCATGTTTTTAAGTTTGATCCATGTAGCGTGTGTCGGTGCTTCACTCCTTTATTGTGGCTGAATCATAGTCCAGTGTGTGTGGCCACCACATTTTATTTATTTATTCAGCCTTGGATGGACCTGCGTGTGCGTGTTTGGTGAGAATGAAAGCTAAGCCTGAACCCAGAGGAAGAACCCATTGAAGAAGACAGCTCTTCCCGTAGCGTCAAGAATTTAAGGAAAAGTTACCATTAACTTTTCCAGCAGTTCCTATCGGTTGCCAGTTGCTTCATCTAATGCTTGGTGTTGCCAGCTTTGGGGACGGAAGCCTTTTTTGCTAAAGTTGCTTTTGAGAATTATTCCTGGGATGGCCTCACGGATAAGGGGTATCCTGGCCCCCAAAGCCTTTCTATCCACAGCCCTCGTTTTTGTTCTGTTTAGCTCCCTTCTCAGTCCTGGTGGAAGATCAGGGGTGCAGGGGAGACATTTCCTGTAGCAGATAATGCTGCTGGGCTCCACGATCCATGTCCCCATCTACCTTTGGTCTCCAAGAACCCCGAGAAATGAATGCGGCTGCCAGGAGACCAGCCAAGTGTCCTGGGGGCGTGGAGGGGAAGGCCCATCTCAGTTAGGGTCTGGGGGTGGTGGCATGGGAGGCGGGTCTGATGTCAGCTGACAAGTTGATGGTGTTGGGCGCTGCAGACAGAGAGCACAGCTTGTGCAGACGCCTGGAGGTGCCAGAACTCACGAGCTGCTTGTGGTTTTTTGGTGTGGGAAGGGGTCAGCTGCCCACAGCCTGGGTGTCTTGCCAGCACAGCCCTTGTGGGGGTCAGATACGGCCCCACACCCACCGACACCACGTCCACATCCCTTCTGAGCATTTTCCTAGGGACTTTTTCTTCCACACACAGTGTTGTGTCTAATTTCGGGGGGTCCTGGACCCTGGAAGGGATCCACTCTTGCTTTTCTGCCCAGCCCCGCGGTTCTGTGGGATGAATGAATCCGTGGCTTGGCGCGTTTCTGCCGTGGGAGCCCCTGCAGCCTGGTTTCGTGCTCCGCCTGCCTCTGGAGAGTTCTGAGTCCCGGCCTCCCCATTCCTGCGCCCTCCAAGCCAGGGCTGCATCGCTTTGTGGCTGGTGGCCTTGGGCTCATCATTGAACCTTGCTGGGCCTTAGTTTTCTCATCTGGAAAACGGGGGAAATGATATTGCCGCTTCCCGTGGTGTTGGTGACAATTACGAGTTAAGACTTGTGAATTGCTGAGAGCAGGGGTTGGCAAACGTGGCAAGCTCCAGACTTGGCCCTCAGCCTGTTTTTGTAAATAAAGTTTTACTGTCACACAGGCCTGCCCACTCATTTGTGTCTTGTCTGTGGTCACTTTCCCAATGCAGTGATGGGTGAGTAGTTGGACAGAGACCGAAACGCAAAGTCGAAGTATTTTCCCACCCGGCTCTTTGCAGGGAAGTGTGCTGACTGCTGGCTTAGAGCAGTGCCAGGCCTGTGCCTCCAGGTTCTCAGGTTCCTCACCTGTGCAGTGGGGATGAAGCATCAGCCCTCTAGCAGGGGTGCAGCAGGGCCCCGGTGGAGGGAGCGCTGAGGCCTGGGGCAGGCTGAGCTGTGAGTTGCGCCTCGTGTAATGTCTGGGGCTCTCTGTGCAGAGTGGCCTCAGCAGCGTGCAGGGTCACGTTTGAGGGACTTGAGGCTTTTTCTGCATTTTCCCTAAGGGTCTGGGTATGTGGAGTGCCTAGGGGTCCCGACTCCAGCTCTCCCCATGTTTCAGATGGAAATGCTGAGCCCAAGAGGCAAACCCAGTGTGTCATCCCAGCGTGACACCCTCGGGCCCTGTGGGACTTGTGGGGTCTGTGTGTGTGTGTGGGGGGGAGTAGGGGTGGGGGTAGGGAGAGGACAGATACCCTGAGATTGGCTCAGCCTCTGCTGGTCCCGAGGTGGTGGGGCAGTTGGCAGCCCTGGGGCTGCAGTTGTCCCCGGGAATAATGTGTCTTCTGTCCTCTGGTGCAGCTGCTGTGGGGGTGGAGAGGCAGCGGCCTAGAGCTCCTGCTGGGGCCTCCGCTGCCAGCAGCTGCTGGCTTGGCCTTGAGGATGGCACTGGGCGGGGGCTGGGTTCTGCCCCCAGCGCTAGGCCTGGAGTGGGGTTTTGGGGTAGGACAGTTCCAGCCAGTGCTTATGCAATGCTCTGCACATTAACTCATTCAAGCCTCACAACAGGCTGGGAGGTGGGAATTGTCTCCTTCTGCAGATGAAGAAACTGATGCAGGGAACGCTTGCATGATCTGCTTGAGGTCACGGAGCTGGGAGGTGATAGAGGGGGTGGGGGTTTGAACCCAGGGCCGTGCAGGTGAGCGCTAATGAACTAATTGGTCGTAACTGAAGGAGACGATGAAAAACCCAATGAAGGGTTCCCTGGTTTCACACGTTTTTGAAAACAACTCTGTTTCACAAAGAGTCAAGCTCAGTGAAGGGAAAACATGAAAATACTGACCAGTAAATAAAAAGTTCTCAACCACCGCCCAGAGAACCCCTTTTTACATCTCTGCATCTTGTTCTCGTATGTGTTTGTATATGCATGTGCATTTTCTGCAAAACCGGGTTCGTCCATGTGATATTCTATAACTTGCTGGTTTGGACTGAGTATCTGAACACCAAATAAGTGTTCCTGGAGGGTCAGCTGGGGCCAGTCCTTGGGGGGGGATGGAGGCTGAGGGTCTTGGTGCCTGCTCTTGGGGAGTTTGGTCCCGTGGGGGGACACAGGTGGAATAAGTGGGGAAGAGAGGAGGCTTCACTTTTACGATAGGAAGGGTCCGACCTGTGCAGAATGGGTCACAGGCTGGGAGGTGGGACGCCTAAGCAGCGCTGGGATGTGACTGGGCCGTGACTGTCATGGCAGGTGCTCCATGTGCTGGTCCCGGAAGTCCGAGCTGGAAACTCGGGGTGTATTGGGGGCGTCGGGCTGGCGGTGCCCGTGCTGACCCCACGCCCGTTTTCTCTCTGCCACAGGACCGCAGCCTGACGGGCAAGCTGGAGCCGGTGTCTCCCCCCAGCCCCCCGCACGCCGACCCTGAGCTGGAGCTGGTGCCTCCGCGGCTCTCCAAGGAGGAGCTGATCCAGAGTATGGACCGCGTGGACCGCGAGATCACCATGGTGGAGCAGCAGATCTCCAAGCTGAAGAAGAAGCAGGTGCGAGCACGAGGCGGGGCGGCTTGGAGCCGGTAACGCCGGTCCGGGCGGTCGGGAACGTGCGCTGAGCACTGCGCATGTGCTGGCTCGTTTTTTTTTGTGTGTGTCCTTTACGCGTATTGGACAAGGGCGCTGGGGTGTGGTGATTGGCCGTCCAATAGAGCTTTCTGCAGTGATGGGACTGTTCTAGGTCTGCAGTGTCCCCAGTGGTGGCCCGCCGCCCTGGGACCGCTGACCTCTTGAAATGTGCCTCGTGTGGCCGAGGAACTGAAATTTTAATTCAGTTTAGTTAGAATTAAATGAAGCGTGCACTTGAATAGCCACGTGGCTACTGTAGTGGCCAGCATGGGAACAATGGGTGAGGTCAGACTGTCTGCGTTCAGATCTCATTTCTGCCACTTCCCAGCCACGGGGGGTGGGGGGTGGGGGTGGACTGGTACTTCTCTGTGCCTCACTCTCCTCATCCATGATGTGGAGGGAAATGTCGCCTGGCTTTGGAATCTCAATGGGCTGGGCCGTCTAGCTCTGCCTCAGTTTCCTTGCCTGTGAAATGGGCACAGAAACAGGGTCATGTGGTAAAACGAAATCCTCATTGTGACTGTCAAAACCAAAGGAAAAGTTAATACACATATTTATAATAATAATTTATAATTTCATTTTTAATATTGATAAAAACAATAGTCTGCGTTTTCCCAGTTTTACGCATATGTCCCTCTGCTCAGATGTCCCCACCACAGATAGATCCCTTCCCCACATTTTATAGGAGCCCTTACGCTAGCCATGTTCTGTCCTGGGGCCCAGCAAATCCAGCCAAAGCCAGCTCTGTGCCTGTTTTTGTAAATAAAGTTTTACTGGCACACGGCCACATCCATTTGTGTATGTTTTGTCTGTGGCTGCTTTGCAGGTACAGTGGCAGAGTTGTGTGGTCATAGCAGACACCATGTGCCAGCAGAACCGAAAATATTTACTATCTGGGCAGGGTCCTTGTATCCCCGTTCACTGCTGTGCTCTTAGCCGTGCTGGCATATAGTAGGTGCTCATTAAAAACTGTTGATGGAGAAGTCAGTGTGACACTGACTTGACACTGGAGTGTCTGGGTTGTGCCTGGGAACAGGGTCACACCTGGTCCTCCCCAGGTGAGGAAGTGTGGACTCCATGTAGGATCAAGGCCCCACCCCGGCACCACGGGCGGTAGAGTGAAGGCTGATGGGAGAAGGCCCACTGGTGGCAGTTCAGGGCCCTGAGACAGGTATTGAAAAGGATGTATGGGCGTGGGGGGCATTGATTCCAGGGGGGCATCTGGGCTGTCCCTGGCATGGACAAATGGGACTTGGGCATGGCCCAGCAGCAGCTGGGCCGGTCAGTGAGGCTCGGCATTGCATTTTGACATTAAATTTAAAATTTGGAATTTTTTTGAGCTAAAGTTCACAAAACATAAAATTGCTCCTATTAAACTGAACAATTCATTGGCATTTAATACACTCCCAGTGTTGTACAACCACTCCTTCTATCTATCGGGTTGTCGGGCAAGTCATGACACATTTTTGCATTGAAAAACATAGAAAAATGTGTCATGACTTTCCTGACGACCCATTAGTTCCAGGACATTTCCATCACCCCAAAAGGAGACCCCAGACCATTTAGCAGTGACTCCTCCTTTCCCTCCCCACCACTTTCCTGCCTCAGGATTTACATATTCTGGACATTGCATGTAAATGGAGCCACAGGGTATGTGACCTTTTGTGACCGGTTTCTCTCACTCAGCGTCTTGTTCCTTCATGGCTGAGTCATTCCGCGGTGCGGATAAGACTCCGTTTTCTTTACCCATTCACCCACTCATGAACATTGGGTTATTCCTACCTTTTGGCCATTGTGATTGTGCTGCTGTGAGCGTTTGCGTTCACGTGTTTTGAGCACCTCTTTCTGGCATAGGCAGACCTCGGAGATACTGCGGCTTCCATCTCAGGCCACCTCACCAAAGCGAACGTCACAATAAAGCGAGTCACTCCAGTTTTTTGGATTCCCAGTGCATAGGAAAGTCATGTTCACACTGGACTGTAATCTGTTAAGTGTACAGTAGTAGTATGTCTAGCAAAAACAATGTTCAGACCTCGATTAAAAAATACTTGATTGCTAAAATATGCTAGCCACCCTCTGCGCCTTCAGCGACTCCTACTAATCTTTTTGGCGCCAACAGACTCGCTTGATACAGGGATGCCACAAACCTCCCGTTTGTGAAAACATAATGTCTGCAGAGTGCAGGGAGGTATGTCTGTATCTAGGAGTGGAGTTACTAGGTTATAAGGTAACTGTTTCGCCTTTCGAGAAGCTATCAAACTACTGTCCATAGTGGCTACGCCATTTTACACTCCTGTCAGCAGTACACAGGCTCCCAGTTTCTCCGCATCCTCGTCCACCCTTGCCACTTTTCGTTTTTCTTTTTAATTACAGCCACCCTGGGGGGTATGGAGTGGTGTCCCGTTGTGGTTGTGTTTGCGCTCAGTAGCCGGTTTTTTATCCAGCTGCCCAGCAGCACTTCCCCACGTGTCACCTTTGGCCTTCAGAACGACCTTGAGGTTGGCACTGTTACTCCTGGCTTTCTCTGAGGAAGACACTGAAGGTCAGAGAGGTTGAGTGACTTACTCGCCCAAGGTCACACAGAGCTGGCGATGGATGGAGTCGAGGTCTGAGGCCACGTCTGGCAGAGTTCTCAGCCTCCTTCTCAGCAGGGTCTCTGTGGTATTTCTCTCCTCTCCTGCTGGGAGAGAATCCCCGCCCACATTTTGCAGCTGTGCACTTCTTCCATTTTTGGGCTTCATTTGTTTTAATGATTTTTGGAGTGATTTTGATGCTTTTGTCAGATGCTAGCTGCTTTTCTGGAAGCCACCACCAGGGGTCGCTGCGGGGCGGAGGCAGCTAGGCTCCCCCTAGCCAGGCTTTTCTGCCCCCAGGAACCAGGACTGGATTTTCTGGTTCCTTCTGCATTGCCCTGCTTTTGTCCGCCTTTTTGGGTTCATAATGGTTGTTTGCTCCATGGTCACGGGCAGGCTGTGTGAGTATTATCATCAGAGAACAGCGTTCTAATCTCAAGATGCCTTATCAGCTTGCACGCCTGCCCACGGGCCTCCCTGTGACCTCGGCCAGTGTCCAACGCCCTCGGGGCTTTACTTGCCCTTTTTGGTATAAAGCAGACAGCAGCATGAAGTGAAGTCCTTTATGATTTTTGGAGGAGAGGGGATCCCGAATGAAGACCCCAGGGCAGATGATGACGATGGTGGTGAGGATAATGAAAAGCTGCTCGTCAGGCCTCACTGCTTCGCACACAGCAGCGCATTTAGGCCTCACACCAACTCTCTAGGGGAGAAACGCCAATTATCCCCATTTCCCTGATGAGGAAAGCGAGGCTCATAGATGTTTAGCAACTTCCCAAGGTTACACAGCCAGGAAGTAGAAGGCATAGGATTCCAACCTGGGCAGTGGCTCCACAGCCTCTCCTGAGGGTGGTGGCACTTGTGATAAGAATGAATGATAGCAGCTGGCTCTTAGCGAGCCCCCAATCTATGCTGTATGTGGAAACTTATCCTTTCCTCCCCGCAGCCCTATTAGGGAGACACAGCGATAAGCCCCATTTAGAGAAGAGGAAACCGAGGCACAGAGCGGAGACATGCTGCTTGTTTATGCCTAGCTGCTAAGTCCCCAGGTGCGATTGAACCCAGCAAGGCCGGCCGCAGAACCCGGAGGCTGGAGCTGGCCCTGGGCTGGGCTCTTCCCTGCGGGGAGAGCTGGGGCCTCTCCAGGGCTCGGAGTTCCCGAGGGTGACTCAGAGGAAATGGTTAGCAGCCTGACTTCCTGTGCGCGTCCACCAGCCGGGCTGCACGGGGCCGCCCCTCGCCGTGGGGTGCTGCCTCTGCTCCTTCCGCCTGCCAGCACCCTTACCACCACATTCTCCTCCTTCCCACAGCAACAGCTGGAGGAGGAGGCTGCTAAGCCGCCCGAGCCCGAGAAGCCGGTGTCGCCACCGCCCATCGAGTCGAAGCATCGCAGCCTGGTGCAGATCATCTATGACGAGAACCGGGTATGTGTGTCGTTGTCCCCCACCTTCTGCTCGCCCTGTGCTGACCACCAGGGTTACCTCGAAGGACCTGGCTCTTTCCCTGGGCCTCAGTGTTCCCTCCCACCCGTGAGCTGGGGACCTCTGTGACCCTCCTTCCGCCCCATACACAGACCCTGGTTTGTGGGGAGGGGTGGCCTGTGGAGACCCATCCTGGTGTGGCTGCAGCCTGTTCTGCTCAGACGTGGCACCGGTGTGAACTGTGGCTGCCTGTGGGATGCAGTATGAGGTGGTAGGCGTCAGGTCGTAGGAGAGCGTCAGGGACCAGCTGACCGGTGGGGCCGATAGGCAGTCCCTTAGGCACGTATGCAGAAGTTCCTGTAACACAGATAGTAATGTTATTGTCATTAACGGTCACAGCAAACGTTAACTAACCAGCTCCTCCTTTTCATGCAATGGGCCAAGTTCTTCACAAGGTGATCCTAGGAGGGTAGGTACAGTAAGCTTCCATTTAACCCGTGGAGAAACTGAGGCCCAGAGAGGTTAAGTGACTTGTCCAAAGTCACACAGCTAGAAAGTGGTGCACCTGGGATTTGAACCTGTGGCCCATCAGACCCCAGGGTCTGATTTTTCAGCATTGGCCTCCACTGACATTTCGCCCTGGAAGGGGCCTCTGCGTGGTTGCACCCAGGGTCTGTAGCAGGCTGTGGGGGCTCCTCTGGATCCATGGAGGGCAGCTTCTGGGTGTCTAGAGGGGGCTCAGTCTAGGGGGGGGGGACTGAGGGTCCCCAGAGCAGAATGTCTCCAGGGAATGAACCTCCAGGGTCTGAGCTGTCCTGAAGTGGAACCTGGTGTCTGGCGAGGTGGTGAGTTCCCCGTCATCCTAGTCAAACCACCGAGAGCTCAGCTTTGATAGTTTACATTTGACTCTTTTTAAATGTGCTCAGGTCCTGTGGATGTTGAGTCTTCTCCCTTTAGTTTCAGATGAGGAAACAGGCCCAGAGAGAGACACTGTTCCTTGTCTGAGGTCACACAGTGAAGTGTGACAGATGGGGGAACTTTCCTCCCTACTTGGCTCCCTTGGTCCCCGTCCTGCCCAGGGCTCCTGGCCAGCTTTCCCAGCCTCCTCTGCTGTGGAATGTGCTCCTGGCTGCAGGATCCGTGCTCAGGGTTTGGGTGGGGCTGGGTACCTGGTGTGTTGGGGCCTGATGGCTGCTCTGGAGCCTGGGAACATGTGGCTGGTGCCTGTGTCTAGAGCTCCAGGCAGGGAACTATTGGAGCAACAGCGTTGGCTACACCTCTGCCTCTTGAAGCAGCAATAGATGCAGGATGAGCCTGCGCCTGCTGGGCCTTATGGGGCTGGTTACCCCCTGCACCCCCCCCCCCGGTCCCCCCCATCAAGTAACACACAGTAGTTATAACAATAGGCTAGCTAAGTGGCCACATTGCTTTAGCCAGATGTCCTAGGTTCAACTCTCATCTCTACAACTTCGCTTTGTGACCTTGAGCCAGCTACTTAAACCTCCCTGTGACTCATGTTCCTCGCCTGCAAAAGGCTGACAATTATAACACCTACCTTGTACGGCAGTGTGGGGGTCAGATGAGTTCATTATGTAGTGCCTCATCCTGGCACCAAGCAAGTGCTGGCGTGCTGTTACGGTTCAGGTGCTGGGTGCATCACACTCAACCTGTTCATTCGTTTGTTCACTCACTCACTCAGCAGCCATGTAATGGAACGCCTGCTCTGTGCCTGCTGCTGTTCCAGGCACAGCAGTGACCTCAGCTCCAGCCCGCTCACGTTCTTTCTGGTGCGGGAGACATACTCACGCCCACAAAGCCACCACCCGTGGGCACACCGTTGACCTGAGGAGTTTTGCTGTCCTTGTCCCTGATCCCCCTTCTGTCCTTTCCTTACCCCTCGCTCTGCCTAGCCTCACTGTCACTGACCTTTGCTCTTCCTCAAACGCCCAGGCGTGCTCCTGCCTCAGGGCCTTTGCCCTGGCCGTGCCCTCCGCCTCCAGCTCCTGTTTCCCTCTGGGCTCCTCTCTCACTCCTTTCACTCTTTGCTCAAATGTCCCCGTTTCAGGGAGGCCCGCCCGTTTTGACCCTGTGTTTAATCCTGCAAACCCTTCAACCCCCGTTTCTCCTCTTCCCTGCTTTAATTTTCCCCTTCGCTCCTGTTTCCACTGGACGTGATTCATATTTTATTTGTTTGTTGTGTTGTTTGCGGACGGACGGAAGCTCTGTGAGGGCAGAGATCCATGTCTCTTCCCCCCCCCCCCCCCCCGAGCTGTGCCCCCAGCACCTGGAACAGTGCCTGGCACATAGTAGGTGCTCAGGAAATGTTTGTTGAACAGATGAACGGATAGCAGCGGGGAGGGGAGACTCCCCTGAGGAGCAGCCCTCCAGTTTGGGATGTGGGGACTGGCCCCTGGCCCCAGTGGAGGTTAGTGGGCTCTGCCTGGGCTGAGCCTCAGGCTGGAGGCTGGGTGGGCAGAGGCCCCCCAGCTGCCTTTGGCTGGGGCAGCCAGGACTTACCGCCTGCAGGGGGGATCAATAGGATTAAATTTTAATCCTCCTTCCTCTCCTGCTGGTTCCTGTGAGAGGCTGACTACAAGGGCCTGTCTCTAAATGCCGCACTGGCTGGAAAACGCAGCTTCCCCGCTGGGCAGGGCCCGCCTGGCTTTTCTGCACAGTGGACTCAGGCTCATTATCCATTCGGGGCACATGGACCAGGCGCCAGCATGCAGGGGGCAGCCAGCTGAGCCAGGCTTTTCCTGCCTCCCAGGAGCTGCCTGCGTGGATGGGGCCAGGCAGGTGCACAACAGAATGGCCGAGCAGGGAGGCGAGGGGCAGGGATGGGCTGGGAGGGAGGCTTCTTGGAAGCAGTGGGTGGGCCATTGGCCTCAGGAGGGCATTCGAGTGGGGGGTCACAGCACAGGGCAAGGCTCAGAGAAGGGAGGGGACAGAGGTCTCGTTTGATCTTCAAAGGGAGTGTGCATGGGCGGGCGGGAGGTGGAGGCCTGGGAGGACGCTCACACTCTGAGTTTGGATAAAACAAACACGTGCAGAAAGAGTGAAGGCTGTATAAATAGGGGACAGTTTGCCTGGTGCTGACACTGTAGGAATTCAGGGCAGTGGGCAATCGAGGCAGACTTCTGGGGGAGACAGGACTTGGACTAGGGCTGCAAAAATGGGCACTACGGGGAAAAGGAAGAAGGGTATTTCCAGTGGCGAGAACGTGATTATTCATACACGTCCATGCACGTATGTGTGTGCGTGTGTTCGAGTGGACCTGTGGGTGACTGTGTGTGTGAGTCAGCACGTGTGGGGCACACCTGTGGTTGCGTGTGCATTGATACATCACACATTCGTGGGTGCGCCTGTTAGCTGTCTGACGTGTGTAGATGTGTGTGCACGTGTTTGTAGATTGGTGTGAGTGGTGCATGTGTGTGGCTGTGTGTGCTTCTATTTCATGCATGCGCATGTGTCCACTTCGGTGCATGTTTGTCCTGTGCGTGCCTTGTGCGTATGTGTGTGAATGCGGTGTGTGTACGAGTGTCCTGTTGGCATGTGTGTGTGTATGTTTGCGCTTTTATAGGTGCGGCCACAGTATTTGGTCACAAGGGTCCATGGGGCTTGTATGTACCTCTCTGTGCAGGTGACTAAGGTCTTTGCAGCCCTGGTACAGCCGCTAGGAGGCCTGGTCATGTGGACCCTGGGGTCCCCCATAGGCGGAGAGCAGTCTCTTGAGTGAGACCCCAGCCCGACTTCCCGATGCCTGGTGAGAGCCCCTGCGGCTTGAGCCCCTGGGTCTGTTCTCTGGGAGCTAGCAGGGCGGCTTTGGCCAATGGTTCCCCAAGCCCGGGCACCGGGGGTCCCGTGGACCCTGGTGCGGAGTTGGGCTTTGAGTCTCAAGGCGGTGAGAAGCTGGCAGCTTGGGGTGAGAGGGAATTTCTGGTTTGACCTGAATCTGTGGCCCGCCCCTGTGTCCTCCGGCCATGCTCCTTTCCATTTGAAGAGGGACGTGGAGAGAGAAATGACAACACGCAGAACATCCTTGCAAAAGTCGTGGGAGTTTGGTACCCGGGGTGAGTGTGGCCGTTTTGCAGGTGTGTGTGTGTGTGGGGGATACTAAGGCGCAGATGGTGAAGGGACTTGCTGAGGGTTAGAGCAGAGCTGACCGCAGACGTGGGCCCCTGAGGGACAGACGTGGCTAGAAAGCCCTGCCTGCCTGGGGAGGAGGAACCCAATAGGCAGGACATCCCCCCAGCTCCCCAGATACCTGGACCCAGAAGCCGGAGTGAGAATGAAGCGGGAACAGTAGGGGAGGTGGAAGGAATGCCCCAGGTCTGGGGGTGCCGGCTCAGGCTGCGGGGGGCCCAGCCTCAGCTCCCTATGTGGACATGGGGCTAATGCCAGGAGCTTCTGCATTGGGTCCTTGGAGGAATCCAAACCCACGAAGCACGTGCAGGGGCCAGCTGATGTGAGCTGTGGCCTTGTCATCGTCGTTCACAGCGATAATAGTAACAGCCAGCTCCCACACCGCACCTACTGTGTGCTGGGTCCTGATGTTAGAGCCTTCACGTGTGTCAGCAACTTTAGTTTTCGTTACGGCTGCGTGAGGGTGCTGTTGTCGCCCCCATTTGATAGACGAGGAAGCTGAGGGTCAGGGAGGTGAAGGGACCCGCCTGAGGCCACATGGTTGGTAAGTGGATTTGAACCCAGGCCGGCTGGTCATGAACCCCGGTCCTGGCTGCCACCCTGCCCTGGGTTTCCAGCGTTCCAGTGTTGGCAGCGAGCGCCCTCGGGGCTGTCCTTCTGGGTAAATTGTAGGTGTGCCACCTTTTGGAAATTGAGTTGCTTCTTAAAAGGCTCCGGGTGGCCCAGGGTTTAGGAACGGAGCCCAGGGGGAGGCTTATCTTCTCCAGGGGCTGCAGGAAGCCCCTTCCCCAGTGCCTGTGTTCCTGAGACAGTGAGGACGTAGTTGGTGACGGAAGCTCCTATGGTTCAACAGCCCCCAC